AATAAAACTTACCAATAAAGTCTTTGAAAATTATTATGACTGGTTTTATTGTAATATTAATTGTGCTGTTTTGTTTCAAGTTGAAATATAAAAAGCCTTCACGTGATCTGCTTTACGCTCTTCTGCTCTTGTGATTTCAATAAAATAGACAAAACATACAGTTCCCCTGGCTTTTTGCATTATATTATTTTAGGACTGGTTTTTAAAATCGTGTTATGGTTATGTTATGACCCAGATTCTCTGAGAAGACACAACCTTTCTCCTCCTACATATTTCTCTTGTTGACTCTGTAAGGAACAACTCGAGGCAACCCAGCAGACTCTGGGGGAGCATGAAGAGACAATTTGAGTTAAAATGCCTCCTTAGGATTTATGTTTTCCTGGTCTCTGGCTCCATCTTGTGTCGTGTTTATGTCTGTGTCCTCCTGGTCCTGTCTGTCTTTGGCATCTGTGATCACTCACAGGCACCTTCATTTGTCTAGTTGGTGTCCTTGTGTCACAAGTTTGAAAGATTCAGCAAAGCCTCCATCAGCAATCACTAAACACAAGCACATGAACAAGAATGGAAATGAGAACTAGAACATGAGCTTTGTTTGCTACAAGATAATAAAGTTGATTCTGAATTTAACAGGGAGCCAACAGAGAGAAGCTACAATTGGAGAAATAGGATTTCTCCTTGTACTTTGTAACTTTCATCAGAAATCTAGCAGCAGCATTTTGGATCAGAAGACATGTTAAATAAGTTTTTCCGACACCCAGATAATAAACAATTACAATAATCCAACCTAGAAGTGATAAATGCATGGACCAGTTTTTATGTCTCATTTTGGCACAAGATGTTTATAACTTTAATGATATTATGCAGGTGGAGGAAAGTGGTCCTGGTGCCATTTTTAATGTGGGGTGTTAAATGCTATACCCTGATCTAAAATAACACCAAGGTACTTTGCATTGGAATTACAGGCCAAATGAATCATATCCAGAGGAAATAAAGGCTGCAAAATATTGTTTCTATGGTGTTCAGATTCATTCAACCTTTATTTAGACAGGTTAATTCCAATGAGCCTCGAAGACTCATTTACAAGAGAGGCCTGATTTCAACAAAGAATGATGACAACAGTGGCACATAACAAACGACAACAATAGACAATCATAAAAGAGGCATGCAGATATATTTTTTAAACAAATTAAAATAAGATGGCAAAAAAAAAAGTAGCAAAAACAGTTAGATTATCAGGCGAATGTAGAAAACTAAAAAGGGGAACATGTCTGCACTGGTTCTTGCCAGGCGTCGAACAGGTGCTTAAAGTCACTTAGAGAGGTCAAGGTCGAGAGCTTCAGATCTTTTTGCAAGATATTCCAGGAAACAGGAGCGGAGTAGGAGAAGGCCCTTTTGCCAAGTTCAGTCCTCACTGAGGGGACACTGCAGGTAATAATGTCCTGAGAGCGCATGCTGTAGCTGCACTCACGCAGAGACATGTAGGAGGAGATGTATGAAGGCAGCAGACCAAGAAGTGATTTAAAGATGAAAATGTACCAGTGGGAGAGTCTGTGTGAAGTTAATGATGTCCAGTTAACCAGTGAATGCAGGATGCAGTGATGGGTATGGTAATCCCAGCCAGTTATGAATCTTAGCTCACCGTGATAGATAGCATCCAACATCTGCTGGGTGCTTGTAGGAGCGTTCATGTACAGTAAATAATGTCACCGTAGTCAAAGGAGGGAAGGAAAGTCATAGATACAAGGTGTTTCCTAGCATTCAAAGTTAGACAGGATCTGTTTCTGAAAAAGAAACCCAGTTTAACTTTCAGTTTCTTTACTAGGTTTTCCACGTGGCGCTTAAAAGAGAGATGCGAGTCGACTAAGATACCTAAATATTTATAGGAATCAACAAACTCAATAGGGACACCATTTCAGGAAAAAATCAGAGGAAGAACTGCTGAGACCGACTTCCTGTTTGAAAAAAGGCATCCCTTTGGTTTTATCGGCATTTAGGACAAGTTTGAGGTGGAACAAATCTGACTGGATGTCAAAAGCAGATTGCAAAAGCTGGAAAGCCTTATCAACTGTTTTAGCTCGACAAAAAACAACTGTGTCATCAGCAAAGAAATGTACGGATGCATCAGGGATGCTTTGACCTACAAAGTACATTACCTATGTAGATTGTAAAGAGGGTGGGTCCTAAGACTGAGCCTTGTGGTACACCATTGTTGACTGTTAAGTAACTGGAGGAAGTACCATTATGTTGAACACATTGCCTCCGATCTGAAAGATAGTTAGAGTTATTAGAGAACCAACCAATGGTATGTTCTGAGAAACCAATTTCTGAGAGTTTATGACACAAGATGTTATGATCCATAGTGTCAAAAGCTTTCTAAATCCAAATACCATGACCTCTGTCTTGCCTGAGTTTAAAAGCAGAAAATTAAGAATAATCCAGGTCTTTATGTCTGTAAGACAAGTTTGTTACTAGTTGGAATCATTAGTTTTCATGGATAAAAATAATTTTGTATTATTGGCATAATAATGATAATTTACCTCATGCGGTCTAAAAACTTTACCTGTTGGAAGCATATACAAAGTAAAGAGTATTGGTCCAAGCACTGAACCCTGAGGAACTCCATGACCAACTATGGTGCACAAAGACTTGTTAATAACATGAACAAAATAGAAAAATATGATTTAAACCATTTTAGAGCCGTTTCTGAAATCCCAAGATCATATTCAAGTCTCTGTAGTAGAATATTGTGAACTATTGTGTCAAATGCAGCACAGAGGTCCAACAGAACCAGTATAGACACAAGTTCAATGTCTGAGGGCAGAAGCATATTACTAGTAACATTCACTGGTGATGTTTCTGTGCTATGAGTTCTAAACCCTGATTGAAACGCCTCAAACACATTTTTCACACAGTTGTGTTGCAACTATTTTCTCAAGATTTTATATAAGAACGGGAAATCGCACATAGATTTATAATAGGCCAGAGCTTCTGAATCAAGATTAAGTTTCTAAAGCAAAAAAATGTAATTACAGCAACCCTAAAGCTTTGTAATACATAATCATTCATCAAAAACAGATTAAGCAGATCCAGAATGGGACATTAACCAAGAGAAACACTTGTCTAGACATGTTGACCGTTCAGATGAAACTCACAATTCAGACACTTCAAGACAAAAAACAGTCCAAACACGTCAGGATCTAGTGCAGATAAAGTTGCATTATTAACCCATTATAATCTTTATGATAATAATTGCTGTTGAACCTTAGATTATCATTTAAAACCAAGCAGAACTACAGCTGGCTGCGAGTATAAAACCTCTATAGGCAACGCCTCTCAGTGCGTTTAAACCTGTGGTGACGCACAGAAACAAGAATCCAGTTGCGCCAGAAAGTGGTCCTTAAATGTAGTGCATGCTCTCTGCACCGACAGGAGGACGGCCTATTGACAGCTGTGAAGATCATGTGAGTATGTTCAATTTTCTCATTGAAAAACAACCCTGCGTGATAGTTTTAGACTACATTCATAAATACCGATATGTATTTTGCATAGTTTGACACTGGCATATTCGTGTTAGATGCAGGAGCTCCTTGTCATCTCACTGGTAACGCGTTTACCACTGAACTGCTGCCAAGACACAAGCATGATCAGGAAAACCAAACATTTCCTTTTACATTTCAATACTGCCAGAAAAAAAAAAGAGGACTTTTGATGTAAAAACTCAAACGTTAAGAAAAAAGTTGCATCTTTGTGCAACGTTCAGAACGCCCTGTGTCTGGTCAGACTGGTTGAACTAAAACATCAGTGGCCAACGCCTTCTTGTCTTTTAGTTAGAAGAGAATCCTAAAAGAATCGGAAGAACTGACAGACATGTTCAGCACCAGCTCAGGTAAGACATGCAAATCATACTAATGTGACTTTTTATGGATATGTTTTTATTTCAAATTGATTACCCTCTCTCTAATTGGTGATCCTACAGACCAGCACCCTTCAGGCTACAACCTGGGCCCCCAGCCAGGAGACCAGAAGCCTCATGGGGGTCATGATCCCCCAAAAGACCTTGGTCCCCGTTCAGGAGACCAGCACTCTCATGGGATTGATGGGAGCCATGGTCCTCCAAAAGTCCAAGAAAAAGATTCTTACCATGGAGGAGCGAAGGACCACAGCCCTCGTCGTCAGACCGGTGAAGGTCCTGATGGAGGCCACCGAAGCTGCAAAGAGCAGAAAGGATGTAAAGAACGTGAGCACAGAGGTAGCGGCAGTGACAGCGATGGTGAAGGCCATGGGAAACATGGGCGTGGGCTCGGGTTCAGTCGTGGCCATGGTTGTGGGCGTGGTCACGGACATGGGAGAGGCGGTGGACACTAGTAAAGAAGTCCAAACAGGTGAGATTTAACGTTTAATAATCATTTGTTAAACCTACTGAAAGTCTGGCTTTATGTTGTTTTTGTGATTGAAGTGGGCGGGGCTCGGATGAAAATGACATCATACGTTTTTGAACCAATTACCTTGTAGCTTCAGAGCAAAACTTGCGGAAAGTGCCAATCAAATCCAGGGAAACTAGTTATACAACTTTAAACCTACGGATAATTTTGTTTGTTGAAAACTAAACATTTGTTTTTGTTGTTTCGTCTTCCAGGCCGATGGCGCTTCAAAGAGAAATGCGAGAAATTTTGTTTTGCGTTGACACCGACCTTCAGTTTAATTCTCCTTCTTTTAGCACGTCGTGTTGCTGAGTCAACCTCCTGTACTTTGTCAGCATTGCAACAGAAATGTTTTCATGAAATAATTTTTTGTTTTATGAAATAAAGTGAAACGGCTCTTTCATTGCTGTGGCAGTTTTCGTAACTAAAACAACATCTCATACAATTTGAACAACGTGTTATTCATTTAATATAAACTAAATGTTTTTGTGACAATACAGGAAAATATGTTGCTGCATATCTAATAGAAACCTTATTCCTTTTTTATATATATATAACATTGTATCAATATTTCTGAAGATGTTAACAAGTTTTATTTTTTTTTAAGAACGAAAATTTATTTTACTTTTTTGACTCAACTCGTAACATACAAACATTTGAATGAAGCGGACAAACCTGTTGATTTTAATTTTTAAAAAAAAGTAATTAAGAAAACAAAGACAATCACATTTTTATTTAAAAAATACGATAGATAGATAGATAGATAGATA